TGAAATGAAATGCCAATGCAAGATGCAAAATGAAGTAATACATACCGGATTCGACCTAGCGCATATTCGGATCCATAGTGACCATTCCAAGCTAGGACAGGTTTCTTACCCGATGTTAGGTTGTTTGAACCCTAGCTCCTGACAAAATAGGACAGGGAAACCCTACCCCAACATAGGGGTGTTTTGGCTCTCACTTACTTGCTATGTGCTTTTAGAGTGTATCTCTACAGGAACGTACATGACAGTTTGCAAGATTGAGTATTAGACCTGAGGGCATCAGTATCAGTCTATCAGAATCAATTATCTGCGGGTATCAGGTTCAGTTTTGGGAACAGTGATTCTGGGGAACAGTGATCAGCAATCGAGTGCAGTTGTTCGGCTACACCTGTGGTTGATCTGTTTGGGCTGAAATGCTGTTTGTTTTACCTTTCAGTTCAGAGTATCCAGAGAATTGGTACAGAATAGCTAGTGTTCCGCTTTGATTGAGGCAGGACTTATGACGACGCAGAATTCAGAAGAGATTGTGGTTATGACAGCTACGCTAGATCAAGGGATCACCCTGCGGGATAAAACCAATGTTGATGTATCGCATCCGCCTAGGTCGCCTGTTGCACACCCAGTCTGGGCCCCCCAGTTGTATCAGGCTCGTGAGCCTACCACATTTGAATTGATGGGGATGATAGGTGATCTCCAGAGATCCGTGGCCGATCTGGCCTATGGAATGTCGACTTCACCGCCAGCGGCACCGTATGCCGGGAATTTCATACCACAGGAGCCCCCGCTACTGGGGCGGATTGTGATAGAGCTCAGCCAGCCAGAGGTGGCTTCTAGCTACAGCCACGACATGTCAGCAACAACAGGGCTTCGCTCCGAAGTAGCAACCCAAACCCTTGACCAGGCTGAGGCTAGAGATAAGAACAAAATGAAGGCAGATGCCGATCCCATTGAACAACTGTTGCGGGCAGTCGAGGCTTTGAAAGCCGGGGGGATGAACAAGCAACAGATATCCGCAGTTGTGGCAAAAACTGTGGAGGATGCTTTCCCCACTCCACCTGAGGGTAGTTCAAGTCAGTCAGAAAATCGGGATAGGCCTCGTCATGCCAGAACAGTTCCTCCTATTCCCAACCCTGCACCTGGGAAAGATCAGAAAACCAAGGTGGCGCCTGCTGACCCTTTCGCTTGTGCGTCTAGTAAGAACGCTCAGACTTCAAAATACCTGCCCCAAGGGCGCATGGTCTTTCATGCTCTCTACATGCCTCTGTCTAAGGCACTTCAGATCCTTGCCGAGAGGGGACACCTTAAACCTTTGGAGCCTCGACCTCTCCCGAAGAATCTCCTTGGTACGTATGATGCTGCTCAGTACTGCGCGTATCACCAGCAGACAGGCCATGCTACCGACAATTGTTTCCGCCTCCGTCATGAGGTGCAAGATTTGATTAACAACGAGGTTATCCTCCCGCCCACCTCAGCCAAGTCCGTTACCACCCAGTTATTGGATTTTGAGGACGCAGATACTGCAAGTATGTAATCAGAAAGTGAACCACCTACGGGCGGCATTCAGTATATTTTGGATGTGCCGTCTGGCATGCATTTTTGAGCATCTATGAACGCTAGCTTTGTAAATTCTGGCTTGGGTATCGAGTCAGTCTTTTGTTTTAAGTCTGTTTCTTTGTCTTGAGTTAGTCTTTTTGCTTAAGGGTCTGTCTTGTTGTAGTGAGTCAGTCCCCTTTGTACAGAATACTAGGTGATTCCGGGGTTGTTGCCTCGAACACCGTTCTGTCTTGTAATTACCCGTTTTTGTTTTTGAGTCTGTTTCTGCCGAGGAGCCAGTTACATCCGAGAAACCTGAATGAAACAGCTACGACTATCATGTTTCCGTGCTTATTGTTTGTTTTGGGCTAGTCGTGCCAGGGGTTTTGAATGGAACGGTCTTGCATTCTACCTGCTCTTCTGTGCCTTGAGAATTATCGCATTGACCTAAGTTCTTCAAAACTTTTTTTTCAAAACATTGTGATAAAAACGAAGAGGAAGGAATTCCTCCGGTTTTGCAAAAATTTGATCAATTGAGAGAAAGAGAAGCATGGTAAGCCCTTAATGAATGAAACCATGCTTGTCAGCGTGAGTACTGGGAAGGACCCTGGCTTGATCCAGACCGGTTCCACACCATCTTCAACGCGAGTGATTTGTTGCCTTCTTAAAAAACTTTCAAAAATAAATGTTTTGCGCGGCCCTGTGAAGACCTGTGTGGAACCACTCTTGAGATTGCGTAGCCTAGGATCGCTCTCAGCCTCAAGATTCGACCTGTTTGTTTTGAACCTCGAACTCATTCGGAACATTCAACGGTCAACTGTTGGAGGAGGCCCGTGTGGCAAGTTTTGAAGCAGCCCTCGAGCAAGAGGCACCAAAGCCGAATCAAAAGATTAGATCTCACCAGAAGAAGCTCGTGGAGCAGCCATAATGGATTCTCCTACAAATCATTGCAACAGCCGTTCTCCTACATACAGAGAGGCTTCAACTTCAAAAACCATTTGGCATGGACTTGTTACACTTTTACCCTTTGAGAGGCTCGCTGGGCCGAAAACCCGGAAGGGCGACCCAGGCAAAAGTTAGAGCAAGAGAAAAATACAAAAAAGAAAAAAAATACAAAAAAAGAAAAGAAAATAAAAGCAAAGCAAAAAATGCGAAAAAGAAATGAAAAAAATTAAAATGAAAAAGAAGCTCGCAAGGTCGAAAACCCGCATCGGGCACCTTGGCAAAAGTTAGAGCCTGAAAAGTGAAGGTTAAAATACCCGAGTGTACCTCAACCGGAACTACGTAACGCTTGATTCCCATGTTCGGAATACGTAGGCAACTTCATTCTGAAGTCCACCCCCCAACGCTTTCATAGCGTCTCGGTCCATACAATGGTTCCGATTTCATCCCAAGGTCCAGTCGCCAACACCTTCAAAGTGACTGTGTCCATATATTGGTTTTGACCATCTTCGTCTTCTCTGTATCCGAGAAAGTTCGGTCATGATCATTACTAGTGAGAACTGTTTACAATATGCTGCGGCATCATTCAAACAAGGGGCAACTTTCCGTTGCCATGAGTCGCCGTTCAAACCAGGGACAACTTTCCGTTGCCATCCACCCCTTTTAAGCCAGGGGCAATTTTCCATCGCCTCCGATCCAAGGTTGCGCATCTCAAAGAGTAAGTTCCATGCTCGTTGAGCATTGACTGTTTGTAAAATAGTTTTTGAAAATTTTTACTAAGGTTGACTATTTTCTCGAAAACTATTCCATTTTCCAAAACTGGACCATTTTCTTGGACCCAAAAAGGAAAATTTTCAGTGCTTATAGCCTGACTTGCATGGTTTTCAAATCAAAGATCGAACAAGTACGTTAATCTGACTCTCATCCTGATCAAAATTGTTTTAGTAGAAAACCAAAAACGAAAAATGGTCAAAGTGATGAACTAGGGGCACAGTTGAGTCAGGCATTCTGACTTTCCCCCGTCGTCAACATACTTGCCAGGAGGGCACTCTACCCACCAGAAGAAATAACTGTGAGCTAACGGCATCGGGCATGAACCCGCAACTTCCTATTCATTCATTAATCACCTTGGGGAGGGACGAAAAATGAGAGAGTAAAGAATAGAGAAGTGTAAGTTGAGAGAAAAAGCGAGCCAAAGGGTTTTGAGAGAAAAACCGAGCTTGAGTGCCAGAGTGATGTGAGAATCACAAATGAGAAAAGGGTGGGAAACAATACCCAGAGAAACTGGCTCCTCGTGATCTGAGGTCCCCCGTCTTCGTTAACGTGTCTGTATGTCGTGTCTTTTGTTTTGTTTACCTCAACCTTTGTTTTAGGTCTCTTCCGAGCGTGTCTCGTTGTGTTTAGGTCGTGTACCCTTTCGTTTGAGTCCTCCCCGCTGTGTTCAGTTGTAGGCTCGATACCCCGGTTGAAAACCCTTATTT